TCTCGCTGAAGAAGGTGTTGAAGGAGTCGTCTCCGCCCCCAATGGTCTTGTCACTGGGCATCTGGCCATCGGGCTGGATGCCGTGCTCCAGGCAGTAGAGCTCCCAGCAGGCGTTGCCAATCTGGACACCGGCCTGGCCAACGTGGATGGAGATGCACTCACGCTGTGGGAGGAAAAGTCATAGAATTAACCTGTATTAGCATTTTGAATTTTTAGTAAATTAGTAGAAAATATTTCTTGTAACATGCCATTCAATTTTATTTAGTATCATAACCCTAATTACGACAAATTACTAATGAATAGGACCTCCTACAAATGCTGCAAGTGGGTGTGACCCGAGCAACAATGTCTTGATATCGTTTAGCACATCGTGTATGTTCGCTGTTCCCTCAGCAGTACTTGAATAGAAAATTCTTTTATATTGAAAAAGATTTTATAAAATTTAAATTACATTCACATTCAGTCACTAATTGGAATTAATTTCATTGCTTCTTTCCCCTTTAAAGATGGTTTCTTCTTAATATGACTTGGTATTTTAATCGGGCCATCTGTACTGCAGCTGAGGCTGGAAGCCACACCCTTCTGCAGTCTGCAGAATCCATCAGTGGGTGGGGTTAGAAGCTAGAAGGGCTGCGTGCTGCACTGCTGTATTTGCAGTGCCTGGCGCTGGCCGGCACCTTCTGCTGCATTATTTAACAGAGCAAGCTCTAGTTCCAGCCATTGCCTACATGATCTCACTGTGGTGCTTTGCAGCGTCCCTCCTGTGACCTAGCCTAGGACCATGTGCCTGGATTGAAAAGAACTGATGGAGATGTATTACAACAAAAGACAGCTGGATGCCTAGTATAATTCTTCGCTTCAGTTTTATTACTTTAAAAAATCGTTTTACAGAATCTTCTCCACTATTAAAAAAAGCTTTAAAAATTGTTTGTACTTTTATAACAACAGTTCCTAGATTCGGAACATATATCACAGAAGAAGCTACCAAATGAAAGAATAAAAACCCAGTGAAAGGATAATGAACTACGTAGAAGAATGAAATAGTATTCATTTCGAGACCACCCACGCGACCCTTCTCTTCTTTTCATCCTGTAGCTGTTCCCCGTATCCCAAGGGGACACAGTTCTCGCCGTCCACACTGACAGATGCAGAGGGCGTTTCCCTCCATTCTAACCTAGGAGCGGGGGCTCACAATGGCTCCCCGAACTCGGCACCGCCCCGCCGTCCCAGGGGTGGCGCTCTCCCGTTTGCAAGGGAATTGTACTTTGCTTCTCAATATGTCATCTAGATTTTAACAGTGAATAAGAAATCTTTTGAAGCATACAGTTTCGCAATGTTAAAAGGCTTTCATTAGAAGTCTGACAGTCTGGACGAGCCCCGCCCAGCGCAGCGCAGCGCAGAGCAGAGCAGAGCAGCCCGCAGCCGCGGCTCCGCCCCTCGCCTCCGCGGAGCCGCCGCAGGCGCAGCACTCTCCGCCCGGACGCGGCCGTCCCGCGGGAAGGCCGGCGCAGCCCCAGCGCCTTCCTCGCAGCCCGGCTGCCTCCGCGCGGCTTCCTCCGCGCCGCCCCGGGCTACCCCCCGGTCCTGGCCGCTCGCGCCCCGGAAGCCCGCGAGAGGAAGGCGCGTCGGCGGGCCGCGTTTCCCGGCCCAGCGCCCTTTGTCACGCCGGGCGGAGCTCCGGGTCGCGGAGTGCTCGGGGACAGCGCCGCCCCCGCGCCGCCTTTGTTCTTCCTCCCGCTTCCCTCCGCGCCGGGCGCTTTCTGCGGGCTTTCGTGCTCCGCACTGCGGCGGCGGGCACGAAGAGGGGCTCAGGAAGGCCAAGCTAAACTTGGCGAGGCATAGGCCACCCCTAACAAAGAGGCTACCGCAGAAGAGCGCTTAAGGCTTCCGGGCAGACCTGGGCTGACTGCGCCCGCCCGCCGGCCGCGCCGCGCCGCGCAACTCTGCTCACCATGGCTGCTGCGTCGCGATCGCCGAGCGGACGGGGACGGGCGGAGGAGCGGCTGCTGCTTCTTACAGCGCGACTCTTAGGCGGTCGATGTAAGAGAACCTGCGGCTCGGGCGGCTGCAGCCTCTTATATGCAGCGCGGTCACCATGGGGATGGGCCAGGGCCTCTTCCTGTTGGTCCAGACCCCTCAGTCTGCCCAGAGAAGTCAGGACTGGAGAGTGGGGATTGGTGCAAGCGGCATGGGATGAGGTAATCTCTCCCCCACCCCTTTTTCCCTAGCATCCATAGACTGTTTGCATCCTTCAGACAAAGAGACCAAGCAAAAGGCAGTGAGTCGAGCATCCATTATGGGGTGTGGTTGGGGCGGGGCCAAAGGAAAGATACAAGACTGGGGTTAGACGGTTTTATGTTGCTTAAACCTCAAACTACAATATAAAACTACTTGTACAAGATTTTTTCTTACACCTAATCACACTGTGTGTTGAGATTAAATATTTATGGAAAACTACACGTAGCTTCTCCCTCAGATTTATACTAAACTCGACTACATTCTGTTGGGTTTCAACGTTTCTAATTACTTTTAAAATGAGGTAGGAAGAAGATGGGATGATGCTCAAAATTGCTTGGGTAAATGTAACTTTTGTTTAAGATTCAGCAGAGGCAAGGGGAGCGCGTATTCGAGCCCAGTTTGAGCGATAAATAGCGCTGGGCTGAAAATGTAGCTCAGTGTGACGCCCCTGGGTTCCATACCCCTACCAGAAAAAAAAAAAAAAAATTTTTTTTGTAACAGAGCCTTTCAAAATGATTTTTTTTTGTCAAAACGATTTCTGAAGTTCAAATAATTTTTCAGACCATCTTTTACGCACATACATACACCGCGGGTGCGCACACACACCAAATTGCTAACAAAAGTGAAAGATGGAAATAATAGCCATATTGAATATAGTTCTAAATATAAACTAAAATATAGTTAAATATAAACTGAATATAGTTAAATTGTGTAAGAGATATCCTTTTCCAAAAATCTAAGTAATATATTTTGAGTTTATTGTCCATAGAAATAAATCATCTCTCCGGATATAGAATTGGAAAAAATCGAAAAAGAAAAAAAATTGAGTTAAAAAAACTAGCGTTTAGTATATGCA